CTCAGAAAATTTGAGTCTCAAGAGCAGCAGAAGAATAGTACAGTTTTATCAACACGTTCCCATTAAATGCCTACTGTGTGCCTGTCACTGCTAAGTGCTAATGTAATAATAATAACGATGACAATAATAATAACTGTCATTTCCGTAGTGCTTTAAGGCTGACAAAGTTCCTAACATGCATTACCTCATTCAATCATCACATGGCAGAATTTGAACTCTGGTCCTTCAGACTCCAAGTCTAGTGCTTTATCCATTATACCACCTTGTCATACAGGCCCCTGGTTTTGAATCCTGCCTTGGACGCTTCCGAGCTATGTGAACCTGGGCCAGTTACTTAACCCTCTGTGCCTCAGTTTCCTCATCTGTAAAAATCGGGGATTAGACTCGATGGTCTTTAAAGGCCCTTTTGGCCACATAGCTCTGACCCTGTGAGTTGCCAGGCAATGCTCCCAGACAACGTAGAGACTTGATCTGGGCCTTTAAGGAGGGGGTAAATCGTAGAAGCTGCTCGACTATCCGAGTGAGTGTTACAGGTTCCACAGCCTGCCCCAGGTCAGGTCTTGATCCTTCCAACAGCCCCAGGAGAGACGAGTACAAGAATCACTCTCCCTATTTTCCAAATGCCCCTGAAGGACTGACATGCTACAAGTGAGAGACACAGCCTGGGCAAACATGCAGGGGTGGGAGATGACCTCAGCACTTGCTGGGGAATACACTGCCAGGCTCACTTGACAGGGGTGGTAAGCAGAGCCAGGGAGAACTGCCGCAGGTGCCACGCGTCAAACAGCTGGGGGGAGTTTTGATTACAGGGTGTCTCGATGCAGCCGTCTGCATCTCTGCTCTGATTACAGGGTGGCCCCCCGGGGTCCTCTGCAGGGATCCAGGGTGGGCCCGAGCAATCCGCTTTCTTCTGCATCACCAAGGAGTCTTACCAGGGAAGGAAAGCAAAGGCTGCTGTTCTTTGACTGCCGGCAGGCTCTGCAGTCAGAGACCAAGGCCCCTGGCTCGGGAGCCCACCGTAGGGACCCGCTTTTCAGTCGCTCTCCCTGGGACCGAAGGCTGAGCAACACCCCCAGATGCCAGGTAGGGCCCCTGTGGGGAGTGGCAAGTTCCTGGGTGGCGGTGGGAGGAGGCAGGTTCAGCCGTGGCCTGCCGGGATTCCTCAGGGCTCTCCCCAGGATTGGGGGAGCAGCTTCCAAACTCCCAGAGAAGGCTCCTGTTCTGCATGGACCCCGGCCAAGGCGGGTGGCTGGCCTGAGAGCCAGGGAGAGTCCGATCTCCTCCAAGAAACTGCACCCTCTCCCCGACTCAGTGTAGCCACACACACACACACACACACACACACACACAAAGATTGCCCAGGGTGAATATCTACTTTGATGGGCACTCTGGGCAGGTGGTGGCAACGAGGCCAGACACTGCTGCTTTCTTAGCTCCTTAGGCATCCACTGTGCCTCGAGCTGTCTCTCTGACTCTGTCTCTCTCCCCCCTCCCTCCCTCCCTCTTCCTCTCTGTCTCTGTCTC